ATGAGTCTACAATACATCCCTTGATGTTGTACGTGTTGATAGAAGTGTAAAATATGAAGGAACTTTCGTATGGATATAAGAATAAATACAAACCATATGCACCACCAGGTAGGGTAAAGTAAAGAAGAAACCTTAAACGAATGATATATGGCAGATAGCAATGACCCATAACGTATATGTGATAGATCAAGTGAACGAGGGAAGAAATTTCGTATGAATCTGCATAGGTGAGACCTAAGTAAAGTTATTAAGTGATAAGATATACATCGAGTATAATGGACGGAAGACACTCCGAGTCACAACATAGCCTGATATTATTTTCGTATTAATATTTATATTAGGTTATTATTTACTCATTGAGTGACGTCTCACCCCCGTCAATATTTTTCCCAGATGAATAGCTAAAATGGGTGAAGGCCATGGGACGAAGCAAGTCAGAGTTTGACATTGATGAGGTGTGCGGAAGGCTGAACTCTCCACAATGTTTTCTATGGGAAATTTGAAGATGGGGTTTTCCAAGAAAGAAAAAAAAACGAACCAAGAGTTTGAGGATTTTGGTAAATAGTTGACTATGTGCATACACTTTTATGGGTTTTAAATGGAGAAGAGAAGTTGGGTGTTACATTCATGACTTGCAAGCATGCTCTATGAAACCGTATTGTATCGGGAGTTCAACCACAAAATATTAGTATCGGAGAATAAATTGGTAGGCGGTCAACAATACTACCAGTTGAACTACAATTAAATTACGATTTTACCATAAAATACACTACAGCTGACTTTTCTGATATGATTTCATGAACCATGCAAGAGAAAGCGGGATGGCATTCTGGTTCATATTAGTAACAAGTATATTAAGTATGGGGAAAAAATTATATGTTTATTAATCTGATTCATTGGGATTTTGCTTTAATTAGATGGACATAGGGATAGGTTTCTGATCCCTGTACCTTTTTCCTGTGCGAAACAAAATAAATTTCTTTGAATGATTGTAAATTTGTATTAGAGGTTGTACCGAAAAATTTAATGATAGAGTATTTTGTGATAAAATTGTGGTTTAACTATTTATGACGCTATAAATTATTGTTATGGGACAATCCAAATACTACATCGATAATACAAGGGAATTGACATTTGTATATAAGTGTTCACCTAGCCCAATTAGTACGAGGCTATTTGAGGAAGGAACCCAAAAGTACAACAGTACGTGCTTGACCCAAAACAAACAATATCGTACTAATAAAGCTACCCGGTTATGACAAGTGATGTCATAGCCAAATTCGGTTCGGGACACTGAACACTAGTTCGGTTAAATTTCAATAAAAGATTTTTTTCGATCAAACCGTAGTTATAATACGGTTTCACTTTCACATGGCTTCTTTCTCTCTTGCCGTATGAAATGGGATTGTTGGTTCTGACAATACATGAAATTTATGTCGGTAAATTAAGCTAGCTATTCCTACAACTATTTTCATCAGACAAGCACCAACCTGACTTGTCCGTGAGTGTCTGGAAAGCTACAACTGGCAAAACTTTCATAGGACCACTAAAATTGAAACATAATCACACGACAATCTAACACTTAACTGTTTCGTACGCTGGTTATTGGTCTGACTATCAGCTCATTTAATTGTTGAAAGACTCTAAAAAACTTTGGGAGTAAGAGAAGTAAAATTAACATCCATATCATTCAAGACATCGATATTGTATGGGATCGTTTTGCTCAAGGATTTGAAAATTGATGGTTTATGTTTGAAGGATTAAGAACGAATTAGGTTCATTTGGGATGGGAGATAATTATTATTCCAATATTAAATTTTATGAAGGATTGGCTCATTTAGCATCAAGGATTTGGTTTCTTCTCTCATATCTATCCATTTGGGTTGTTTGAATGATGAATTTGGTGATGAAATTGAATCTGTCATGGACTTTGTCTAAATTTTATTGTTTTTTTCATGTATTTATAAGCAATAAATATGTGGGACCTAAGGACTCTCAAGGTACATGGACTTGAAAATCTCACTCCTTTCGTTGGGAATTGAACATAAATTTTGAAGTCCACCATTTATGAGATACCTACCTTGCATATTTCCTTTCTCACCTCATACCAACGAGAGCAACAAAATGTCAATTCTGCTTCATACATACAAACCTAATTAACAAAATCCATTATAAAAAATCTTCATTTTCAAAATCCAGTAAACGAATTATGTGGGTTTTTCAAAGGGGATTGCTAATTGTCGCCCTAACTATTGTGATCGCCCTATATTAAAATTACATTTATATCCTTTATTATTATTAGAATAAAAACAAAACAAATCTACCACTACCATCTCCGTCCGTCAGCCACCGCTACCAACCACCGACTGCTACCACCATCCAAGACCATTGCATCTACTTTTCGTTGCAATAAGGGTGTAATCTTCAACGTTTGGATGTGGAAATTTGAAAACGTTGGAATTTGTCTGAATTCCCATGTTTTACAAAACCAAGGAATTGACTTGTGGAAATTGGGGGGGGGGGGGGGAAATCACGTTTGGATATGGTTTAGTTTTGTGGGAATTGATGGTGTGGAATTTGGAAAAACAAGTAAGAAAATGTGGTAATGTCAAATTACTAGGGGGAGGTGTAGTATTCTCAATTACCATGAATGTGGTAATTGAAGCCAATTCCCATACCCTTTTTGCTCTCCCAAACGTTGGTTTTTAACCCAATTACTACATTATGTGGTAATTGAGTCCAATTACTGCATTACATTTCCACATCCAAACGACCCCTTGTGTTTGACATACATGGATTTTCAAAGCTACCCCAAATCACAAAACTAATAATAAGGACATATTCAGTTGCAAAATCGGCAAGGGAAAGGGGGGAAAAAGCTCCGCCTCCACCAGGCCAACCAGCCCCACCCCTTAGATCGATCCCGCCTTTCCTCTCTAACCGCAAGCTTCAATTCGACGCCAATCAGTTGATCCAAGGTTGAACGGCGGCAGGACAAAGGAGTGATCGCTGCCTAGGGAGGAGTCCGACGACGAGAGGATAGGTGGTCAGCGGGGATGAAAGGTTGCCGCCCTCGTTGGGAGGAGATGAAAGACAACTAGGGCTTCTACGGTTTCTTTGTTTTGTTAAGGTTAATTTAGTAATTGTAAATATTAAGTTAGGGCGATAATAGTAAAATCAGGGCGACGTTTAGCCATTCAGTTTCCAAATCCTTGTGGTCCGCGGATTTGGCATTAAAAAAAATCAAATCCATGGACACACATTTGATACCCACATTTTTCTGCACTCAAACATTGGATCTGAACAATCCTGTTGAGTGTTGGATTTGGGTCCAAATCCTTGATCCAAATGACTCGTCGGATATTAGGACTCAACAATGGTACAGCAACAGCATTTTGTCTCGATAAAAGACCAAGGCATCGTTGGTTTGCTTTCTAGACTTGCAAAAAGAACGCAAAATCTAGTAATAGATCGCCTGGCTTGGAATCGGGGCAACCTGCCCAGTTACCGCCAGAGAAAGATGAAAGCTACACAGAAACCACAAGAGCAGAAGAGAGACGAACTTTGCCCAAGGTTGCACTTGATGCAATCTCAATATACCCTGTCCTGTTATAGCTGACATATGAATATCAGCGGGTGCATGGACCACTTTGAAGCATAAGAAGGAAGAGCAAGTTTTGCCTTATCCTTCTACTCTCTATGGTTTATCAAAGTGTTGATACACATGTTATAATCTCGAATAAAAATTAAGGGACTGCAACCCCTACTAAACTAGACGAAGCTAGCTCCACCACGGGACAAATGCAACAACCAACGAAAAAGCTTTGTCCCTGGAGTTCACATTTGGCAAGCAGATGCCAAGGGAATTAAGTAGGTATACACTAGTTTCCTGGAATCCAAGAATGCTGGTAACAGACAACATGCATACATAAGAGAATGTAGTAATATAACAATGTATAAACTCGAAGATAAAGAAGCAAGTATAGAACAGATAATATTTTCAATGCCATGTGTGATCATCTATGAGTTGGTAGTCAAACAGGCAGAGTGAGGGTTGCATTCTCTGCAATAGAAATCGTTTCTCTCGATCAAAATTCTCAGCATGTCGGCAGTGAAATTGGGAGCATTAGGGTCAGTCGCAGCGGTGGACAGAGACGATGACTGCTGCGACGCTGGAATTGGAGGAGGAGGTGAAGCTTTGTCGAAACCGCAGCAACAGTGTCTGAAACCGATACACTTACCTGGGGAACAGGTACAAGAACAAGAGGAAGAAGGCCGCCGCCGCCGCGACTCTGTTTTCTTCTCTGCCTTGGTCTTGGTAACCGCCGCCTTGGCCAGACTCCTCGGGAAACAACAACCTAAACCGATTCCGGACCCCAGGTTCCGCTTTGCACCGTTGTTGAAATCGTGCCTTTTTTTGTTTACCTTCTTGTTCGTCATCTCCGCTGGCACTTGTTGCTGCTGCTTACAAGACCCATCATCGTCTCCGTCCCTGCCGCCAACTCTGCGAATCTCTCCTCCGTCGCAGTCGGACCCGGACATCAACAATGGCAAAACATACAGGTTGGTTGGTGGGGAGATGTTCTAAATGAATTTCAACCTCAGCCACGGAATTGGCAATCAGGAAATTGGATTCCCACTAACCACATACTTCGTTGCAATCGGAAAGCCAGCCAATATGGGGCTGGCTTCTTTCCTTTTTTTTTTTTCTTCTTTCTTTTGTGCAATAATTGGTTTGCAGTTTTGCTAAGCACAGTTGTCGGCCAAACAAATCGATGACCCATTGAATGGAATATACACCAACCACTGCACGTAACTTTAACTCTGTTGTGTTTCAGCTTCCTGTATTCTTATTCCACACTGGGCGGGAAATGACTTGTTATTGTAAGTATACAACATCTAATCAAAGGACTGAAAAATTGTACAATACTGACAATTCAATCAGGAAAACTTCTTATCAGAAACTAAACCGATAGGCTGTATTCCTTGATCTAATCAAACACTGATCGACCCATAGAAATTCTGCGTAAAACCACCTAAAATCGGTCTAAAGATAACCATAAGTCCATAACTTTATCACACAGCACAGCTAATTAAGATGAACCTCAAAACCTGAAAGCTGTACTACTGTAACACTCTACATTGTTTATGGCATCGAACGTATTCGTATATCTACAAGATGATCAACGCACTATCAGCACGACTGACTGATGCAATGTTGGGGAACATGAAACCAATGACAAGCATTCATCCAGATTAGCAATGAATAAACTATTGGCATAAAACAATACATCAAGTTTTGCTCAAGCACACTTCATGTTCCTCGATTCTCTGGTGGGAGTGCAGACAGTCCTCAACCTGTTCGCGCTCAGCGCTTCCATGGTCTGTGTCACCTCGTCCCCGTTGTATCGGTTGCAGCAGGTACCTTTACAGGGTAACTGGACAAATCCATGTCAATGAGTGACATGTCATATGGGACGGACAAAGAATCTGAAGTATCAACGAGTAGAGAAGATTTCGTGGCATCAGAATCAGCAGCTACTGAAGTAGATGTGTTCTTGGGGGTGCTTCCCCCGGATGATGACTGACTGCTGAGCTGGATCTCGTCCAACTTGCTTCCTGGCAAGTGTTTGTTTCTTCTCGCAGCATCCATTTCTTGACCAGTAGGCACGAAGGTACGAGCTCGATACTTTACTGACCCCTCCTCACCTTCGTGATTATGATTGTAAAGCACGTAGTCATGATAAGTTGGTGCAAACTGAAACAGTATTAAGCAAGTCAATCATAACCAAGTTTTTGCCATTGTAGCAGGTAGGTATTGGTAGATCAACACTATGGCCTACCTGATGAACAGTGTCATGGTAGAAATCATTCAACTTCACGGCATGAGCAAGACTTCCAGTTAAACCACACGATCCACCAATATTCGCACCAGCATATTCTTTGTAAGGAAATGCATAAAAATGACCCACGGCAGCTATAAGCATTTCAACGCATATGATAAAATCCTGAAACTGAGCAGCTTCCTCCCTATTCTTAATAAATCCAGACTTTGCAGCGAGAAAAACCAGAACACCCTGCAAGAAAAAGGTGAAGGAGCTTTCAATGTTTAAGTAGCCCTCACAAACTTTAAAATCAAGGGATAATCTATTCCTTCGAATGATATGTCAACAAGGCAATGAATGCACAAATTAGAGCACTTATAGAACTATGACGTCAAGAGAGGTTCATGAACTCCACAGCTCCATCACATGTCCTCTACACAATTAAAAACGTACTGGTAGCAGGAATTAAAATAACTTCATCCTTCAGAACAGAAATATACAACTCTTTGACATCATAACTCCTAAAGTTCTTCAAGTGGCAGTCATGAATTACCACTGCTGACCATCATCTAATCTCACTAATCCGGCAGCAGTTAGAAATTTTAGAGAGCCAGTAAACTGGCAGACCGATGTTTCCCCAGAGACCATACTTCCACCACATTACCTTACTGAAACAGATAGTTGCTCAAAATTTTGAGAGACTATCAAGTATCAACACAAAAACAAAGAGCTATCTCCTCAGGGAAATTATGTTTTTTTCTTATTTTAGTAATCCGAGAAAGTCTCAAGCAAAAATGTTTTAGTATTCTAAAATGAGAAAGCACAAAAAGGGAGAATGTGTCTCTCATATGAGCTAATTTTAGGAAATGTAATGCGGTTTAACTTTCCTTGGCAAAACCTCTCTATATGAATGCCCTTACGACACCCAACTACTATATAAAAAACAGGAGGTCAGTGGTTGAAAAGCATCTGCCCTTAGATGCTAAAGGAAAATACTTGAAGTCAAATATGGTTGAAAAGCTTAAGCAAATCTCCCAGCAGAATGAATCCAGAATAATGGACTGCCAGTTGGCAAGCCATCCTTCCACGGGGAGGTAATGGGCTTCAGTTCCAACCCCGCTCAACAAATGGCAAAGGGGACAAAAAATAGCCTTGCTAGCAGAACAGAAGTGTCAGAACAAGGTTCAGTAAGTTGTGAAGCCAAACTATGTGCAGTTGACCGGCCAGTATCCTGAGTTCCTGACTTCTGTATATATACACCAATTTGCTATTACTAACAGAGGGATGATGCACTTCCACTCAAGTACAAAAGATGATCAACTAGACAAACAAATGATTCAGGAAAGACAGCAACAATCCAAAACAAAGAGCCCATGCAAGCTTTGAACCAGACATGCAAGAAGATACAATAACAAAACCAATTCATTGGACAATATGGTGCCAACTAGTTACCTGCCAGTAAGTCAAGAAAACAACCGACTTGATCATAACAAACTTTGGAACCGGATTAAAGGGCTGAAGCAGATGCCGGCATGCGACATAAAATAATGCCAAGGCATAAAGAGCCATCGTGTATGAAATCGTATATATTATCGTGAGATACAGGTATGCTTGATCGGGACTGAAGTTTCCATCTTTGTATTTCCCTTTTGCATACAGTATCAAAGTAACGGTGACTAAGATAGGCTTCAGAATCACAAACTGCAAACAACCCTGCTTGCACCTTCGAATAAACCGCCTGTGCCCAATCAAATGCATCCTCAGAAAGTTAATAGTAATAACAGTGATTATCCAGTTATGGAAACAGAAGATAAATGAATATTATAATTGGAAAAGAAAGTGCATCCTTTAAAGCAAAAAGAGAGAGCCAATAACAAGAAACGCAGATAACTTTTTTAGTTTTCAGAAACTTCAGACAGCGGCAGGAAGCTTTTTTTCTTCTCATATACCAAAAGTCACAAAGGGAGAAACTGACCCATCCAGCGGTATGGGAGGGAAGCAACATGTCATCAAGCACCATGATGGCTTCATTACTCGGCCAGTTAAGCTTATAACTACGGAACCAGGGCCACCAACCCAAGCGAGGCACAGTGATAAAAAGTTGTAAATCACCCATGCTTCATACCTGAACCAGAGATCGAAGCATCAGCAACAACAATAGAAAATAGTGTGGATGGACTAAATTCACAGCATTCATTTAACAACAATAACAAGCATACTCAGTAAAAGACCTCCAGCCTAAGAAATATTACTATCATTTGTGGGAATATTGCTCTCTTACGGTAGGAGGCAAGCGATAAACATTCTTGATGACTTGTTGCCACTTTGCTATATGACAAGGTAGAGCAGAGGTATTTGAAGAATGGATCAAATGTTAGGCGAGTGCAATCCTAATCGAGAACGAGATGCTAGAGAGATAAGTTATGAGAACAGTTTGCATAGTGTGGAGGTTCCATTTTCTGTAAATCACATGTTCCAAGCAACTGACCAAAATAAATACCACTTTAATGTCCCAGTTAAACAGGTGGAATAACTAATTTTTTCTTCTATAAGGAATGATCCATATAAGTTCACATCCACAGTTCAACAGCAATAATCTTCAATTGATAATTTACTAGGACAAGTAAATTATATTAAGCTCTCTTATCACATGCTATGCCTTAATAGTTTGCGGTTACACAAAACAAAACTCATGTAAGAATGGTATAACTGTTTGGACAAAATGAAAATATCTCACAATCAAATCCAGTCAAAAAGATCCTCAGATGTGAAAGAGATCCCCAGACATGAGTAAGTGAACCAAGCATTAGTAATTGATCTACATAGAGAAAACTCAAACTATACCGATATGCATCCAGACTGTCACATTATCAGAGATAAAGTTCCTTTCAGGTAGAACAAGAAATCTATCAGTCCCAGAAAATACAATGAAGACTGAAGGATTAAATGTGACCCAACTTGAACATCTGTTCATGCCACTAGGAACTGTTATTTGACATTCTCCGTGATCATATTTTAGGCAAGCCAAAGGAGCTCGTCAATTCATCCAGGGACAGAAGGAAACCTATAGTAGTGTGGCACTAGAAGCAATTTCCCCTAAAGACCGTGTCACTACATGTGAACAAAGTCAATGACAATCCTAAAACTGTTAGGACTTACAGAAGGATGAACTTTACAACATCTGAGAGTTCATTTATAACCTTCACTGTGTAACAAAGAATAGTGCGTCATCACCGATGGCTGAACATAATGACACTAAGAACCGCACAAACGCCCAAGATAAAGATGCACTTCTATTCAACAAGGAAAACAAGATGATGTTCCAGAGGAAGGGGAAGTACTTACACTTCTCTTATGGAATTAAAATATATAGAACTCTGTGGCAGGATGAGAGACAAGAAAGACATCAATGCATAAACCTGGATATAAGAAAGAATGGCTGTGGTTATAAATTCATACTGACTCTAAGAGAATATGTCAAAGATTCAATTTCAGAATTTGCAGGCAATCAAGCACGCAATTTAGAAACCAATAAGGAGCCAACAATGCAAAGGATCCAAGACGCATAAGCACAGACGCTACTCCAACCATGGAAATTTAGTCATCGAAACTGCTAAAAGTAGCCTACATGATTTTTTACATATAAACCAACAGCAAAACCTTAAAATTAACTATAACTAAATTTCCAACATGAGCATCAACTAATAGAATTCTTGGAGAACATTTGAGCAGTCAAGTATATTATTCCAGCTCTAAGTACTCCGCCTAAGCAAGGGATGGATGGCTAAGCCCTCAATTTCACAGCCAGATAAGCCAGAATTTCGGTTTCCAAATAGCTAGATATGAAGCAAGAACACTAAATTATGCATTGTAGTAAGGGGGCAGCTGAAAATGACGGGGATGAATGAAGATAAAGCAAGCAAGAAACGAATGAAGAGCAAACTGCACATAACAGATAGCATTGCCCAAATCAAACCCATATCTCAAAGTAGGAAATGAAGGACTGAAAACAACATGATGAAAGCAAGCTGTTTGAGAATGAAGGACTGACCGGGACCATAAAGACCATACGAACTATAAATCTCTGGTAAGTGGGCTCAGTGTAATTCCGCAAGTGCCTGTATATGTGAGCAACAGCCAAAGCGATTGCACCAAGAGTGCAAACGAAGGCGATAATGCTGTAGTAGATTGGGACCAACTCCGCCATTGTGAAAAAAGGGGGAAAATGATCCGATCCCTGAGCAAGTCAAGGTGAAGCTCGTAAGAAACCGAAGCAAATAAATAGATAGCTAGCAGGATGGAGAAAGCAAACCCCAGAGATATAGCGGTCAAAGTACAATCAAGTTTGCAAAAACCACAAACCCTAAATCCATAGAATGTACGGCGGCCGTTGCAGGAAACACCCAAGTAAGAAATGATGCTGAGTTTAGCAATGAATGAGAGAGAGAAATCATTTCGATGGGATTCCACACCTAGATAGAAAAAAAAAAGGTCTGATTCCGCCGCAGACGAGATTCAACAGTGCTGCATCTCAAGTTTCTTCGCCTGCGTATGCATCAACTTCTTACCTACGACCAGATTAACTTCGCGACCAAGCAAACCTCCTCCTCCGTGAATACTTGCGACTTGCCAACTACGGCAGCTTCTCTATACATCCAAATGAGTTCGTTCCCCTGCGTCGCCATGGTTTATTTCTTCGTTCCTAAGAAGAAGAATCAGCAGAAGCTCGAGGCGCATGAAGAACAAGGGTAGACGATTCCCGACGTTACGCTGCCGTTTCGTACCGGCTTTGTGGGAAGAAAATAAATTCCAGAAGGCTAATCTGGTAAATGTATTGTTAATTAATGTGCCGCGACCCAGGTCTGGAAGGTGGGACACCGCTGTTGACAACCGATGGACTAGAGAAGAACGTAACGTTAATGTCCGATGGCAGCGGGGGTTAAGTTTGTTCCAACTCTCTAAAGTCTAAACTCAAAATCCAACATCTATTTCAAGTTAATTAGTTTTTTATCCGGCTAAATCCTCGCATTGATTGTGAGCGGAAGAACAACTATTTCGAGATAATTGTAAACTAGTGTGGGCCCGGCTTTTGGTCGGAGGAAGGTGAGGTATGAAATTTGATAATGTAATGGGGTATATAGTTTATTATTGTATAGTTTTGTGGGAAACACGTGATAAAAATAGTGAATTTTAGTAGGAAATAAACATGAATAATGCAATGAATCAAAAATCAGCCTTATGAACCAAAATCAAGTACTTGTTACCTTGTGAAACAATATTGTTTCTGGTAATATGATGAGGCGGAGTAAGTTTTATAGAAACCGAATTCCAGAAAATCGAATAAAAAATCGCCTATCCCGCCGGTTTTCGGGAAATGAGCATCTCACAATCGTTGCTAGCTTTTACTCGGCTAGTTGGCCGATTAATTTGCTTTATAAAACTTTCATCTAGTCATCATTGTGCTTTCTGGTTTTTTGCCAAGCCATGATAGAATATAAAGAAATCAACAATGAACAACACTATTTGGGATAGGAACCACCGTTCCTGTCCCCTAGAAAATGGTGGTAAACACGGACTCACCTGCCAAACTGGTTTTGATTGAGATTTTTATTGGGTATCAGGGAACCAAGTGATTATAAATTAGACTTGATCAAAACGGGCCAAAACTTGAAATTCGGCATGTTTGACCGACCCATGCCAAACTCTAATTATTCTTTACTTTTAAACTTTCTATTTGATAATAAAAATTAATGAAAGAAAATAGATGATTGCAATTCGCCATTTGCACATCACTGATTCGGGAATAAAACTATAGAATTTCGAAAGGAAACAAAAAAATATTTAGTATCGTTTTAATGTTAAAATAACCAAATAGATCTTTCTGTTTAGTTTTTTACTAACAAATACCAAACGATTCCCTATAATATACACTATAATTTAATCATTAAGATATCAAATAATTATATAATATATATTTGAAATAATAAAAATTGGACTAATTGGGTTGGTCGAGGTTGAACCATTGAATAATTTTAAAATACATTATATTTTAGCCACTAAGATATAAAATAATAGCATAATATATATTATGTTAGAGAAAATATCTTGTTTTAGAATGACAAACCCATGATGTTCATTTGTTTTACTTGATGGGCAAATCTCGTGCAGGTCAGACCCATTCAACTCGTTTATTTTATGATTAGCGGTTAGCCCATTAGAATCCATGCATTAGTTTATTGATAAATTTTTTCGTTTTAGCAATAAAAAATAATATTATTTTTGCCTTTTCATATATATTTTACCACCACGGAGAAATAAAAGGACTTAAAGTAAAAAATTTACACTCTTGGACCCGTTTAAATCCGCATGTGTACGGTAAGTTGGCCCGTTCCACAGAGAAAAAAGAAAAAAATTGACACTCCCTACTCTACCCTTCCTACAAACACTCCTAGAGCAGGGGATTTGAAATGGGGGAAGGGTTTTTTCCTCTCTGCGATTATATGCTTTTAATTTAAAAAGATACAACAAATGTACTTAGTGTGATTGGTTATGATCTTTGCTTTTCTTTAAAGTGGTCATGGTTCGAATCCTAATAAGTGTCTTTTTAATGAATAAAAAAAAGTAATTGTGAAGACCAAAATGTCCTTCCTACTTTCACTCTGGATGCAGAAAATTTGAAATGGGGCTTCAAGTTTTCTCATTTGGCTTTTATTTATTGTGTAGATTCAAAATGCTGATAAAACATTGATATTATATTATATTATTTTTATTAAAAATTATTAAATACATTATCAAATTTTGAACAAAATATTATGACACCTCTAAAGTTTTTAAGCAAATATATATCTATACCAAAAATGAAATAAAAAAAATTTAATAACCCATTCGAACAATTTGTTATTGATATTATGCATAAATTTTTTGTTGATGTGGCATGAAGTCAAAGTTTGAACGTGTCACATGTCACTTGCCATTGTAGATGACTGAGTTTCTGGATGTTCAATACCATCATGGCGGAGTGATGGATTTCTCGGGTTTGGAACCAAAATATGTTGGTGGGTTTTCTGTAAACATATCAGTGGATGTTGATGAAATGTCATAATTTGAACTGTTGAACGTGGCTACAGTCCAGTTGAAGTATGTAGGTGTACGGAAGATATGGTACTTGAAATCGGGAGCAACAATGACAGATGGTCTACGTGAAGTACGTTTTGATAAGGATGTGGAAGGGTTGATTGTCGATGCAACCCAAACTAAAGAAGATTCAGTATTCGTAGATACTATAGAGCAGGATGATCATAGGTGGAGCCAGCTCTCTTGGGCATTGTCTCGAGACAAGGATAAATTATGGGAGTAACAAAAATACTCCATATATGCTTATACTAAGGATGGAATACAACACCCAGTACACCGTATTTTGTCACTATATCACAACTCATTACTTGTAATAAAATCGACATTAAATTAATTTATTATATTATAAATGAAATTTCAATTGGAATAGATCCATATTCGATTATTTTTCCAACAATCTTGAAGCAGTCCCGTGGCAGCGCCGTATCCACTAGTTTTGAGAGCAAGTGTAGATAAAAATATTTTCAGCTTTGAGCTATATCAAGAACGAACTTTGAAGTTGAATTCACGAGCAGTTTGCTAATGGCTGTTTAGTGAGATCCATTGGAAATGACTTACTTAAGAGTGTAGGCAATAAATGTATTTTGTGTTTCTTTCAAAATATGAAAACTCGTCATGATTGTTTATTAAGATACCGATTGTATTTGTCATTATTTTTTATATGAAAATAAATTATTTAGATATTATTAATTCAATTATATTTATAAAATATCTATATATTTATAATACGAAAAGAGGACAGGGGTAGTTTCAAATCATGCCTCTGCCACTGAGGATGATGGACTGATGGGAGATAATGAGGAGCTAGACATGTTTCAAGGTTTACCGAAGGATGCTAAATACATATATGAGAGCTCTGTTGCAAGGAAAATCATCAATGTGTCTGACCCTAGTGATTCCCTCGTGTCAACTGAGAACAATTTAGCATCTTGTCCCACATCATATGATTGCTCTAGGGAAGAAGTTGACCAGCCTCGTGTATCTGAAGATGGGGAGGAGGAGCCTTCGAAAGATTACTTGGAGATGGAACAAGAAACATCTTATTCTTCAGACAAAATGTCTACACCAGGCAATCAAAGTGTGTCGAATGTTTTTAATGAGGAGCCCGAGGAACGATATGCAAGACTGTCATTTTGTGATCCCGATTGTGATCATGATGAGTTATTTTTCAAGGTTGGGCTTAAATTCCTCACTGTTGAGCAGTTCAGACTTGCTGTGTACAAGCATTTTGTTGATATTGGGGCAAACGTGGCATGCACAAACAGCAACGAAGGTAGGCGGGAGTTTAAGTGTGAGGACTCCACTTGTGAGTGGAGGGTACATGTTGCTTGGTGGGGGGATGGTGCAAGTTTCATGGTTAGCTAGGTTAGGAAGCCTCACACTTGTTCTAGAGCTATTCGAGTTAACCTAGCTACTGCAACATTTATCGTACAACATTTTCTTGAGCGGATTCGGGTCAATCCAAAATGGTAATCGAGCCTTATTGAGGAGGTAAAGGAAGAATCAGGTGTCGAAGTTAGAACATGCTACCAGGCTAAGGTTATTGCTAGGGAGATGTTGAATGGAACACTTGAGGAAGAGTATCACATGTTGAAACCGTATATGGCTGCTTTGAAGGCATCACATTCTGAGGGACGTTTTGTCCTAGATGGTGTTCCTTATGTGGCTGCATATAGAGTGTATTTCAAGAGGTTCTATAGTGGGTTCTCTATTATGAAAAAGGTTTCCTTGCTGGTTGTAGGTAGATAGTTGTTTTTCTAAATGGCGAGATAAAAGGTATGCTACTGACGGCTTTCGCAAAGGATGGGAATAATCACATTCTCCCATTTTCATGGGTTGTTGTAGAGGCAGAGAACAAGGATTCATGGACTTGGTTCCTTAGCACAATACAAGAAGAGTTACAGTTTGCAGATGGGCGGGGATGGAGTATTATTTCGGACCAACAAAAGGTATTGTGCCACTTTGTGATTTATTACAATCCTAGTTTATTTTTCTAGTCGGTTTTTTGAATCACTTTACTCTACTTTTTTAGGGGTTGGTCGAAGAAATTCATGATATAATGCTTAGCACATAATATAAGAAGTGCTCTCGACAAGTGAATGCAAATTGGAAGGCAAAAAACAAGAATGATAGAATGTGGAGCCTATTCTAGAAGGCAGTATACACTTGCAATGAGGCAGATTTTAAGGCTGCCACAGTTGAAATGGAAAGTTATGAACAAGAGCAGACCAATGAGAAACTGTACAAGGACTTCATGGATTAAGATCCAACCACCTTTTGTCGTCCTTTTATATCCATAGTCCCGAAGTCCGATAGTGTTGAAAGCAACATAGGTGAAAGTTTGAATGGTGTGATTGTGAAACACATAGAACAAAGGATAATATATGTGCTGAAAGGGATAAGAGGCTACATGATGGTTCGGATGAAGAAGAAGCTTAGAAAGTTTTAAACAAATAGACGACTTATATGTCCCCAGGCTTTGACCATCTTGGCTGAGGAGGATGTGAAGGCAAGGAAATGCCATGCATGTTCTAGCACCAACAACGTGATTTAAGTGCGTAATGGGACATCAACATATGTTGTTGGTTTATGTAGCCGTAGTTGCTCTTGTGGGGCTTCGGAACTGTCAGGAATCCCTTGTTGCCATGCTCATTCGGCCATTGGATTGATGAGACTCATTGTTAATGATTTTGTTCATGAGT